GCCCCTTCCTCTACTGATCTGTTGGAAAGCTACCCTAATGCACTAACTCCTAGACTAAACTCCTGACTGCAGACACTGAACAATTGTAGTAAGTGTGCAAGTCGAACCTGTCTGTAAGGGGAGTGGTTCCCCCGAAGGTGTGCTGTGCTGCAACTGTGGGTGGCAGCCCTATGAGGCAGACCCCACTGAGAGGAACTGTAGCTCTGCCTTTCCTCGCTATTTGCTGCCTCAGTGTCCCCATTTAGAAAACGCAGCGTTGCTGGGAAGATTGCAGATATGTGTGTCAATTGCCACACATATTGACACACATAGTGGGTCCTCAGGAGGTGGCAGCAGAGACGAACAGCTCCAAAGATGGGGGGAAAGGTGGCTCCTCACTCAGCCCCGCACTTCTCCCCTAAAGCACTGGGAGCCACAGCTCAGAGTGGCAACTTACGTGGATGACTGTGTCTCCATTGAGTTCTGTCACGGACTTGATGCCTTTGAAAGATGTCACCAGTTTATTCTCACCTTCCAGCTGCACCACTGCCTGCAGGGGACAGAAGAGATGGCCCGTGAGGAAGGGTCTGGCAGGGAGCAAGGCCTTTGCTAATGAGGTTGGGTCCCCGGCATGGGCCTCGGCTGACAACAACCCACCACTCCTCTTTATAAAAGGCCAATCTCCCAGCTCTCTGACTCCTAATAGAAGTGAATTGTATTTAAAAACTGGCCAACTTTTTGTCACTTTCCTTCCTCACGTGGAGAGTTATCCTGGCTCTTACTGAAGTCTTTTCTACATTAATGACTGTTAGAGCCTGACCATCAAAACCAGTTTTGTCCAATACTATTTCTCAAACTTTGATTGAGTGCCTACTATGTACCAAACACATGTTGAGTAGCAAGGATACACATGTATGGAAACACTGAGGCACCCAGCCTGGAACATAGCAGGTAGGGCCCAATTTCCTCCAAAGTTTAGAAGCATATAAAACCCCTGGATTTCTTGGACTCATCAGTTTTTGAGATTTTGAGGCATGTCCCCTTTCTCCCCTACCTCACCCTCCCACTGATTCTCTTGAACAAGACTGTGGCAATGTCATTAGCATTAAATGTGCTTCTTTAATGTCATTAGCATTAAAAAGAGGTCTCTTAGTTTCTGCCGCAATGGAATGGAATTGGAAAGATTTGGGTTTGAACCTTGGTTCTACAACTCATTGTCGATGACCTTGGACAGGTCAGCCTGTCTATTAAACCCCTCATCCTGCCTCCTTCTTCACTGGAGATGTGAGGACTAGAAGAGACGGAGGGTGTTGAAGGACATTGGTCAAGGCTGAGCCCAGGACTGATCCTCTCCTGCTCCCCTGTTGGTGCCTCCCTGAGCTGCTGTGAATGTGCCCAGGTGGGGGCTGGGACCGCATGTTTCATGGTTGACTCTCACACTCTCCCAAGTTGAGGGATTTTTCCACTTGGACTGAGTGGGGACAGACCCCTTGAGCAGCAACCTGCCGGCTGTTACTCCCTGAAGTACAGTCTGGGGCAAGGAAGAGTCAGGGGACATCATTGATGGAGAGACACTGCACTGGGTCGGAGACAGACGTGGCTGGCAGCCAGGCGCCAAGGATGACATGGCACCCACCACGGCAGTGTGCCAGATTCGTAAGCTGCCATAAAACTGCCATGAATAGGATTCTCCTTATTAATGCCGAATGGGCAAAGGCATTTGTTGACTGCCCTGGGCTTGTAGGGCACGTAGAAGTCTTTGTGGCTGCTTGGTTAGTGTGGAGGCGGAAGAGAAGGGCTCTGGCTAATGATCATGGACCTGTCATACAACAGAAAAAGCAACAAAAGGACCCAACTTTTGGCCAAACAAAGCCTGCCTTGCCTGTGGGTTCTGTGTCGGTGGAAGGGCTGTTCTGTGAATCAGAGGCACACAGGAGACGAGTGGATTCCTGCCCTTTGGTCTGTGAGTGTGTCCCTAGGCCAAATCCCAGTGGAGACTGAGGAAGGTGGGCTGTGCTGGTGGCTCTCCATGACCCCGGGTCTCCTCCTACCAAGACCTCTCCTGCCCCATCTTACTTAGGTTGGTGAAGGAAGTGTAGGGCAAGGAGGAGAGAAGGAAGTGGGGAGGCTGGAGTGGTGAATCCAGACCGGGAATGTGGTGGTGGAAGGACAGCCCGAAGGAGCCCAGGGGGAGTGGGGAAGCCCCTTCTGGGGCCGCTGCCCGCACATATGGAGTCTGGTGAATTAGAAAAGGGTGCCCCTTCCTCTACTGATCTGTTGGAAAGCTACCCTAATGCACTGAACTCCTAGACTAAACTCCTGACTGCAGACACTGAACAATTGTAGTAAGTGTGCAAGTCGAACCTGTCTGTAAGGGGAGTGGTTCCCCCGAAGGTGTGCTGTGCTGCAACTGTGGGTGGCAGCCCTATGAGGCAGACCCCACTGAGAGGAACTGTAGCTCTGCCTTTCCTCGCTATTTGCTGCCTCAGTGTCCCCATTTAGAAAACGCAGCGTTGCTGGGAAGATTGCAGATATGTGTGTCAATTGCCACACATATTGACACACATAGTGGGTCCTCAGGAGGTGGCAGCAGAGACGAACAGCTCCAAAGATGGGGGGAAAGGTGGCTCCTCACTCAGCCCCGCACTTCTCCCCTAAAGCACTGGGAGCCACAGCTCAGAGTGGCAACTTACGTGGATGACTGTGTCTCCATTGAGTTCTGTCACGGACTTGATGCCTTTGAAAGATGTCACCAGTTTATTCTCACCTTCCAGCTGCACCACTGCCTGCAGGGGACAGAAGAGATGGCCCGTGAGGAAGGGTCTGGCAGGGAGCAAGGCCTTTGCTAATGAGGTTGGGTCCCCGGCATGGGCCTCTGCTGACAACAACCCACCACTCCTCTTTATAGAAGGCCAATCTCCCAGCTCTCTGACTCCTAATCGAAGCGAATTGTATTTAAAAACTAAGAGAAGCCCTGGCTGATGTGGCTCAGCAGTTGAGCGTCGACCTATGAACCAGGAGGTCACCTTTCAATTCCTGGTCAGGGCACATGCCTGGGTTGCGGGCTTGATCCCTAGTGGGGAGTGTGCAGGAGGCAGCCAGTCAATGATTCTCTCTCATCATTAATGTTTCTCTCTCTCTCTCTTTCTCTCTCTCTGATCCCTCGTGGGGAGTGTGCAGGAGGCAGCCAGTCAATGATTCTCTCTCATCATTAATGTTTCTCTCTCTATCTCTCTCTCCGTCTCCCTGCCTCTCTCTGAAATCAATAAAAACATTAAAAAATCTACTTAAAAGAAAATAACTAGAAGAAACTGTCAGGGTATCTTTAGCCAGACTTTCAAATTTATGCTAGGTGATCTAGAAATCAGCAACACAACACTTAACTGGCTCAAAACACGAAGGTAAACGTGAGTAAAATCTCAGTTCTCCAAGCTGATAGAGGGAGGTGTAGCAAGATTTAAGAGCTGGCCAGCTGGGAGAGCACATTCCAGCATGCTTATCGTTCTTATTGGGGTCTCCTTCTCCAGCTTTATGCATCCAGGGAGGGGCAACAGAAGCCCAGGAAGAGGAAACAGGGAGCAGAAGACACCGGCCAAGGTTAAACATTTTCCTCAAAAACGGACAAATCGGAAAAGGTCTGTGGTAAACACATGACCACGCGCCCCTTCCTGTGGGCACATAGGAAGGGTTTTTCCTCCTAAATTTCATCACAGATTTCCTGACCTGTAGTGTTGTATCTGGAGAAGCAGAAATAAAGACTGATCAGGAGAGGTAAAAATACCAACGTGCTGAGCCCAGTGCATGAAACTGCCTGGAGGGGAGGAGTGGAGGCGGCTGCTCAGCGGGGCTGGCCCTGCTGGGGGGATGGAGTTTCTCAGGAAGGGAGGCTCAGGTGGCGGGCACCCCAGTGCCTGGGTCTCCATGCCAGCGCCTGCTGACGCTCACACAGCCCGCACCCAGCGCTCATTACACACCTGAGCCACAGCCCAGCGGGAGGGATGTGGCCCTGCCTTCAGTCTGGGAAGGGGGACGGTGCCTGTTTTACAGCTGAGGCAGCTGAGGCTGGGGGCTTGGGGATCACCCTTGAAGGTTTCGTATTCTGGGGTTGCCAGCACCTCCTCCAGGAAGCTTCTCCCCAGGACCACTGGCTCGAAGCCCAGCAAAGCCAGTTTAATTTGGACTCAAGGAGACCCAGGGCTCTGTGAAGGGTTTTCCACTGACCCCCACTTGCCCACTGTTGGGCCTGGAAGAACCTGGCACTTAGTCCCTGGCTGTCTGCATGGTTCCGCCAGTTCCTCCGCATTGGGAGAGCTCAGATTCTTGGGCCAGCCCACCCCATCATCAGTCCTTAGCGAGGTTTTCCCTAAGAGCTTCTTCCCCAAGCGTTGACTTTGTCTCTCTGCTTCTCGCCCCAGAAGTAAGTTCAGAGATAGGGCATCCATGGTGGGAATTGTGAGGTGTGACTCTCGAGGGAGGAAGCCCTGGGACCAAGCTCCAAGAAAAGTTCCAGAAGCAGAGTGTGGCTGGAGGGGCATCTCCTACCTTGACCTTCTCCCCAGTCATGGTCTCCAGCTCGCACTCCTCCCCCAGGGTGAACTCGTTCTGGATCACTTTGGACCCGGTGGTGACGGTGAGCTTGAAGTGCTTCCCATTCTGCACGACTTCCGACACTCCCTTGATGTCCTTCCCCTTCTGGATGAGGTCGTCAGGCAGACCTGGTGGAAACCATCTGAGGTTTAGAGATGGGCAGAGGTGGGAGGTGCCAGGCAGTGGCCACAGAGAAAGTTTGTAGGACGGAGGGGGAGAGGGAGGTGGTGTGACTCCCTGGAGGCCACAGGCATGGAATCCTATGAGTAACATGGGCCTTGACCTTTGACAGGAAAGGTCAGTGGCCCGACTTGACCTGCCCTGGCCGGCTCACCATCTTGTCAGTTGGTTCATAAAGAAGACGCTCCTCTGGCCTGAAGACCTCTCCTGTCTTTTTTTTTTTTTTAAATCCTCACCAGAGGATTTTTTAGAGAGAGTGGGAGAGGGAAAGACAGAGAGAAACATCGATGTGAGAGAAACACATCAATTGGTTGCCTCCTGAGTGCTACCTGACCAGGGAGGAGTCTACAACCAAGGTACGTGCCCCCAGCTGTAATCGAACCTGGGACCCTTTGGTCTGCAGGCCGATGCTCTATCCACTGAGCCAAACTGGCTAGGGCTGAAGACCTCTCCCGTTGTGAGCACCTGGTTCTTGCTCACTCTCCTTCCTCACTCTTCCTCCTTTAACACCCAGAGAATTTGCTCTTTGAGCACAAGCATTTCATCCTCCACACTCAAGTTGGCTGATACAGTTTATCTTCCAAGCCAGGTCACTCCTGAGAGTGAGAAGTGGGATTAGGGTGCTATTATGCCAGAGCAACATGCACCAACTGGGCCTGTCCTGGTCGACATCTGTCCACCCAGCCCTATCTCAACCTCTGCTGGCAAGGCTCTCGAAGAGGAGGTATCAGGAGTCCCTTGCCCTGGGACAGAGCTTTACAAATTTCAGAGCGTGTCTGTGGTGTCATATGAATTGAGGTTTACAAACCCACGTGCATTGATAGTGGGTGGGGGTGTCCTGTTGCACAGGTGAGGGATGTGAGCCACAGAGAGGTGGCATGACTTGCCCTAAAGTAGATCCAAGCTCTCTGCTGGCCCTGAAGTCCCTCCTCCCTCTGTCTTTGCTGTCTTTCCCACCCTTCTGCCTCTTGGCGCCCTTCCTTGTCACATGGCCCCTTTGCTTATAAGGTTTCCTCTACCAGGAGTACCATCGCCTTTTCCAGTCCCCTAGTGGACACCTGCTCATCTTCCAAGGTTAGCCAAGGCTCACCTTCATCACATCAAACCTCCTCTCCTTGCCCTCCCATGAACACCACATCCTCCTGCACGATCCTCTGGGAGACACAGCAGGTGAAAGTGGGGTCTCTGGGAGCCAGTGCCCGCTTCAATTCCTGGTGCAAACACTCCCTACCTGACTGGCCTAGGTTGGGATTACTTAACCTTTTAAGGTCTCAGTTGCTTTGACTGTAAAATGGGAAAAATAATAGTACCCAACTCAGAGTTCTGTCATTGAGGATTCAGTGGGATATTGCATATCAAGGGCTTGGCACAGTGCCTGGCACCGAGTCAGCGCTGGGTACGCATTAGGAGATTCTTTATTGTATTTATTTCGTCTCCTTTTCCTCGCTAAACTGTGACTTTGGAAATGGGGCTCAGTGTCATGTGTCCCTTGTATCTGTCCAGCACGGTGCTTAGAATATGGTTGGGCTTGAATCAACGCTAGGAGAATGAATGGCTGGCTGGATGAATGAATGAATGAACAAGGTCACACAGAGAGTTACTAGCAGAGGTGGCTTCAATCCAAATTAGACACTCGTTCAGTGCTCCTTGCACTTGCCTGTGGGTGGCCTCGTTCAGTGAGGACCAGCACAAGCTGCCAGTGACTGCAAAAGGAACACGTGCCACAGGGCCCTGGCCTGCAGAAAGCCCGAGTCTCTCCTCCCATCCCAGCATCCAGCCTGCATCTGTGACCAGCCACCCCCTGCCAGCTCAGACACTGATTGCCATGACCGCCGGCTAGGTGCCCAGGTCAGCACTCACCAATTGCCTTCATGAAGGGCTCAAAGTTTTCCTGGCTCTGCAGCTGGTACTTGCCGGAGAAATTCATGGTGGCGATGAGACTCCCTCCACAGTTGGTCGGCAGCTCTGCTGGTGGGGCTGGCCAGTGTGGGCTGATTTATAAGAGGTTATTTCCCCTTTGAGTGTTGGCCATAGGTCAGCATCTGTCACCTCCTTTATGGCCAGGTTCAAATATTAACTCGAGAGCAATGGTCAACGATAAAAAACACACAGGAGGGGCACAGCAGATTTGCTCTAATTCAGCAAACATTAACGGGTGTCAATCAAATGCAAAGCCGTATGGTCCTGCAGCCTTTAAGGTGCTCCTCACCCATGAAATGTGTGTATATATATGTGTGTGTGGGTATACATAGCTACACATACATGTTTGTGTGTGTATATATACTTGTGTGTATCTAGATCTAGACAAACAGGAAAATACTAAATAATCCCTTTAAACTCAAAACCTCACCTTATTTACATAACCTTTTGATCTCTTCCCACAGACTTAATTTTTACAAAGATGTCATCAGCCCCTGGAGCTATTTTGTATTAGAGGGAATGCCTCCTCTACAGGCTCCTCCATAGTCCAAATCAGTCTCCTTTTTTTTTTCAATCCTCACCCGAGGATATTTTTCCATTGATTTTTTTTAGAGAGAGTGGAAGGAGGGGGAAAGAGATAGAGAGAGAAACATGGACGTGAGACACATCGATTGGCTGCCTCTCCCATGTGCCCAGACAAGGGCTGAGGATTGAGCCTGCAACCGAGGTACGTGCCCTTGATCGGATTTGAACCTGGGACCCTTTGGGCTTCAGGCTGATGCTCTATCCACTGAGTCAAACTGGCGAGGGCATCGGTCTCCTTTTTAGAGTGTTAAAACACTACATACTAAAGGGAAGGTGTAAGCCTTTAAACCAGCTGTGTGGCAACTGAGATGCATTTTATTAGGCAGCTAAAGGGTAGTGGAGAGAAAGAAGGCAGTACCTACTGAGCCGACTGGATTCGTCGGGGCCGCCCATGCCCTGTGCTCGCTCTCACTCTGCTCTCTGCGCCCGTCTTTCCCTTCACCTGGTCACCTCCTCTGGGACTCCTCTGGGTCCGTAGAGCACTTGGCGAACACCTACATTCTAATTCCTACTGGGATGACTTCTCTATGTATCCTCTTTCACAGCACTTCTTCTCTGGGATTCCCAATACCTGGCACTCGAGAGATGTCCAATTAATGATGGGTCAACAAACAAGGCCGTCAAAACATAACGAGGCCATAGCTCTTCCCGTAAAAGGAAGAGAAGAGACACAGAGAGATATGGAGTAGCCCGGTGGACACACACTCTCAAACCACAGAATCACTGGGGCTGGGCAGCCGGGAGATTGAGAACCTGGCTGGGAACTTTCCCCTTTGTCGTGGTGGAACCCAATCCAGGGTGCTATTTGAATCTGTGTTTCCTGGCTGCTGCCCCTTTTTGCTGAAAGAAATGCTTTTGACTCTTTATTACAGCCTAAGATTCATTTTGGTTTACACCTGGCATATAAACGCCACATCAGACCCTCTCCCATGACCACTGATGTCAGGTGACTCCCTCCCCCCGCCCCCGTGCTGCTAACTGGGCTCTAAGGCGGAGATTGGGAAGGAGGGTCGAGAAAGTTTCTCCTTAGGAAGAGTCAGCACCCATCCCAGAGGCCTCTAGGAAGCCTGCAGCCATCGGGTACTCCTTTCCCGGGGTCTGAGGAAAAGCGGGGCCTGTGACTGCTTGTACTTCTTCTCCAGGCAATGCCTGGGCAGATGCATGCGGCCTGGTCAGGGGTCTGGCACAGTCGGTGAAGAGCTGACAGCTCCCGCTGCAAATGGAAGCCCGACAGTTGGAGAGGCAGGTGACCAAGCTGGCAGTCACAAGACAAGAATCCTGCCCCCCACCCCTGCCCCCTGCCCCCAGGTCCTAGACAGTGCAATCCTCCCTCAGGCAACCCCCACTAGCCTCCTTTGGGTCAGGTTTCTTGTGTGTGAGTTTTGAGGCCAAGGAGGTTAGTGGCCGTTTCAAAATTTATCACTTGTGAACAGTTCCATAAAATGAGGAGAGGGGAATGACATTTCCCACCCACGAGCTAAGCAAACACAAGAAGAGATAAGCTTGATTGGGATGACAAAGTTCAAGTGGCTTTCAAGAAAGAGACTCCCACTTCATGGGAACAGCTTCTGATTTTTGTCAACCAGACTCCAGTGCCCCTCCAGTCCCCACTAGACGTCCCCTCTTCTCACGCTCCCTTCTCAGCTGAGCAGCATGGAGGTGAGGGAGAGGAGGGATGTCCAGGATATGCCTGGCATTCATTCTCAGTGAGGCACCTTTGCACCTGTGTCTGATCCCAGGCGGCCTACGGTACCAGCTTGCCCACTTCCCGGTGTGCCCTGGGAACCCATCGGCGAGAGGCAGGACTACAGATGGGAAGTACTGGGCCTGGGCCCGGCTCTTTTCTCCGCCTGGACAAGGATTCAGCCTTTGAGAGCGTCCACTCCTTCTCTCCGCCTGGGAAAGCCCTGTGTGACGGTCAAGTCCTTCTGGAATGTGAGCTTGTATCACAGAGACTCAGAGCACTTTGCATTTGCTTCTGCCACGTGTCCAGAGGTTACCAGGTGTCACCAGCCCAGGACCAATTTTTATGTTTGTCTCCGGGCTCGGGGACAAGCTTCTTCCTATTTCCCTGGGCCATTGCCAGTGTCTCCAGTCCCTGGTTTACTATGGTGCAGCTGTCTTCCCAGGTGTCTCACATCCCACTTCGTGTCAGACCTACGGCCTCCTCTCCTGAGGGGTAGGAAAACCCAGGCTCCTGGCACCGGCCTGTCTCCAGTTCTGGCAACCACGCCAGGTGCCCAGACTCATCTCACTGCTCATTGCTCTGACCTTCAGTGCCCTCTGTGCTAATGGCACCTGGGATTTTAATCCCTGTTTGTGACCTCAGCTATATTTCTGTACCTTCTCGCTGTGCTGAGTAAAGAGTTTGCATCAGCTCTGTTGGCCATGTTGGAGGTCCTGGAACTGTTGTGTTTTTATTTTGTGCTGTTTTATTTTTTAAAATATATTTTCATTGATTCCAGAGAGGAAGGGTAAGGGAGAGAGAGATAGGAACATCAATGATGAGAGAGAATCATTGATCAACTGCCTCCTGCACACCCCTGACTGGGGATTGAGCCTGCAACCTGGGCATGTGCATTGATCTGGAATTCAACGGTGACTTCTTGGTTTATGGTCAACACTCAACCACTAAGCCATGCCGGCTGGGCTGTTTTGTGCTGTTTTAAATCCTTTTGGCGGGATTTCAGGATATACGTATATCCTCCAGGGAAAACTTTTTTTAAAATATTAATCCTCACCCCAGGAGTTTTTCCCTATTAATTACCAAAAAATGTGTTTTTATTGATTTTAGAGAGAGACGAAGGGAGAGGGAGAGATAGAAACATTAATGATTAGAGAGAATCATTGATCAACTGCCTCGTGCACACCCCCTACTGGAGATAAAGCCCACAACCTGGGCATATGCCCTGACCAGGAATTGAACCAGCGACCTATTGATTCATGGGTCAATACTCAACCACTGAGCCATACTGGCTGGACCCATTATTAATCCTCACCTGAGGATATTTTTCCATTTTTGGAGAGAATGGAAAAGAGATGGAAAGACAGAGAGAAATATCGATGTGAGACATATTCATTAGTTGCCTCCTGAACAAGTACTGACGAGGGCTGGGGCCAGGGAGGAGCCTGCAACCTAGGTATGTGCCCTGAGACCCTTCAGTCCATAGGCCGACGCTCTATTCACTGAGCCAAACTGCCTGGGGCTGGGCCCTTTAATTTTTAATTGAGAGGGTAAGGGAAGGAGAGAGAGAGAGAGAGAGAGAGAGAGAGCGAAACATTAAAATGCAACCGAGGTACATGCCCTTGACTGGAATCAAACCTGTGACCCTTCAGTCCACAGGCTAATGCTCTAACCACTTCGCACACCGGCCAAGGAAGGAAAAACTTTTTTAAAAAAAATATATTTTATTGATTTTTTACAGAGAGGAAGGGAGAGGAAGAGAGAGTTAGAAACATCGATGAGAGAGAAACATCGATCAGCTGCCTCCTGCACACCTCCTACTGGGGATGTGCCCGCAACCAAGGTACATGCCCTTGACCGGAATCAAACCCAGGACCCTTCAGTCCATAGGCTGACGTTCTACCCACTAAGCCAAACCGGTTAGGGCAGACAGAAAAACTTTTAAAAGACATTCTTAAGCCATTTCTTTCATATGCCTATCCTGTCTCTTCTCACTGTAAATTCCTTAAAGAGTGCTGTGTAACAATGGTCCAGTGTCTAGAGTGGGATCTGGGTGAAAGCCATGTAATGCCCAGGGAGGGCATTTTAGAGATAGACCCACTGAGGGTCAAAAGTACACGTATGGCAAACAAACATTGTGGGTGGTGGTTTGCACTGTAAAAGGAATCAGACTACACAGACTACACTGAAAAGTGTACTCAGCAAAATTCCCTCTCATGTAATAACTTCCAGAAATGTCCTTATTGTGTAAAGTGAGACCTTCCTCGGGCTTAGTTTAGGTCCCCAGCGGGATCTCCTTTGCTGCGAACAGTAGAGGAAAGCCCATGGATCACAGTGGAGATCCCTTGAGGGCTGATGCAATCAGGAAGAACTCAAAACTTGCCTGTAAGGCTAGTTCATATTTTGGTTGTAAAAGCTAATAGCATTTGTTTGTCTTGTATCATTGGGTTCTCGTGTTCCTTTGCCCTCTGAGGGTTGAAAGCTGGTCCAGTTGGCGTCAGATCAGCCTGGTACATCAAAGAGAAATCTCTTCCAAGTGATCCTTGGCTAACTTGCCATCCACACCCTGCAATCCTGCATCCTCTTTGCTTTTGAGCTGTGAGCCATCAGCCTTCCAGAGCCAGGACAGCCACTCCACTGACATCCCTCCAGGCTTCGCTGCACAGTCCTTTTTATACAGTCCCCCGCCCCCCCCCCCGCACCCAGGTCTGCTTTCTCAGCTCCTCTAGATCAATGTCCCCAATAGCAATTTCTATTCTATTCCATTAGTTCCATTCATAGTGATAAAATAGCAGCTTCCATTAACTGGACGCCAAGTAGGTGTTTT